CGCACACCTTCCCCCCCCCTCCCCGCACAGCTCCATCCCGCCCCTTGCAGGCCAGGCGGGCAGAGGTTCCGACCCGCAGGGGTTAAACCTCCCCCAGGGCCCGCAGCCCCCCCTGCCCAGGGGGGAGATCCCACCATCTCATCCCGGGGGGGGCAGCCCAAGGGGCAGGGGAGGCAGGAGGGTGAAAGCTCCTGGATGAAACGTTTCCGTCCAGGTGCCTGCTGCTGCTTCGGGGCAGGGAGGGGAAAAGCGGGGTCCTGTCATCACGGGGCTGTGGGCAAGAGCTTTCTCTCTGGTCCCAGAGGCAACGGGGCTTCTTCCTCCTGAACAGGGCAAGCAGAGCACCGTATCCCAATTCTTAGTCCCCTGAGCCTTTTTTCTCCTCTTGTCCTTCTCCCCAGGAGCAAGCCAGGTAGGAGGAATGAAACATCCCAAGTAGCTCAACAGTGTCATCATCACCTGCCAGGGTGGGCATCGGATTTATCTGTGGATGGAGTGGTTTTGGATCGAAACAGGAGCCTGGTGGCTGTAAGGAAAATACTCATGAAAAGCATCTTTGCTGGGGAGGATACGAATGAACTGTTCCCAAAGCCTCAAGCCCCTTCCACCTCTGCATCAGCAGAAAGTGCAGGTACGTGCTCAGACTCCAAGAGCTCTGCTTTCAGTCCCACCTTGAAGAGGGGAGGCTGCTTTTCCCTTTCCCCCCATCGGCACGGGTCCGTTGTTCATCTGCCTTCTCCCAAGAAGGGCAGGAAGGAGCATGGTCCCTTTGGGGGTGCCTCATCCAGCTGCAAAGGTCACGGAGGAGGGAACAGAAGGCTTTTCTCTCAAAAATTCCTGTTTCCAACCACTTCTTCCCTCCCTTGGGGTCTGGGCAGAGGGAAGCGGGGTCTGACCGTCCCCCCGTGTGCTGGGAGCCCCGGGGCAGAGGGAGTGGGGACTGGAGGCAGGAGGAGGGAGTTGTCCTGGACAAACTCCAGGTCAGAGGCGAGAGGGGCCTTGGGCCCACTTGGAAAACGCCTCTGGGAAGAGGAGAGGCCTTTCTTCATGCAGGAGACTCCTGCACTCCAGGACCTCGGTCTCCAGCCTCATGGGGCACGTGTTTGTCCTCAGGAGTCCTTCCATGCCTCCCCTTGTTCAAAGACCTCAAAACCAGTTGCTCCCCAGCCCTGTTTTCTCCTCTACAGGACAAACAAGCCAGGGCCAGACCTTTCCTCCTCCTCTCCCATTTACTGGCATTTAGATCCCTGCACTGCCCCACTCCTGGTATCCGTCACAACCACGGACACTGTGACCATGTCCTGGTCCTGTTTGGGAGTTTCTCTCTCCTGCGCTGCCGAGCTGCAGCTGATGAGTTTGTTACTGGGGTAAACCCCACCGCCCAGCCCCACGGCTCTCGCTGGCTGGGGGAGCGATGGGTTCACTCCCCCCCCCCGGGAGCAAATCACAGCCTGTGAGTCTGTGTGTGTTTTATTCTGCATCGTGCGTTGGGAGCGTCTCTCCCAGGGAAAGCCTGGCTGCAGCGTGCCCCAGTTTCCCTCTGCAGCAAAACGGGGAAGCGCCGGTTCCCAGCCAGCCCCACCGGAGAGAATTCCCCCCCTGGCAGGCGGCGGGGTGTCCTCCAGCTCCCTTTGCCAGGCTTGAGGGAAGGACGAGCCCGGTTTTCCACATGGATCCGCTCCGGCCCCATACCCGGGTCCGCGGGCAGGAGCGGCTGGGCTGCGGGCGGTGGCGTTGGTCCAGAGACCAGACCCAGGTGGTGTGGGGAAAGGGAATGCTAAAGGCAACTGGGAATTCTTTAAAATAACCCCCCTGATACGCCACAGTTGGCCTCTGCAGGGTGGAAGGAGCACAGAAGTCTCCTTGCCTGCCGCCAGTTCTGTTCTTTTTTTTTTTTTTTTTTTTCCCTCCTTGTTTCTTTTTTCTTTCTTTTCCCAAAGTCCTGACTTCCTCACCCCCTCCTTGGTGCGGCTCTGCTTTTCTTTCACACTCCTCCCGGGGGGGTCGAGCCAGTGTTTAACTCTTTCGTCCTTGCAGCGGTTAGTTAGTGGCTTGGAGACGACCCCGAAGCCCCAGAAGGAGCATCCCCCCTGGCTCCAACCGGGAGCCCCCAGGGGTTTGCCTGTGTGTTGGGCACAGAGGTGTGTGTTTGTGCAAGCGGGGAAAGTAGCGGAGAACTTGTCACTTTTATCGCGGTGGCTGGCTGTCCCCGCCCGGTGGAGGTGCCCTCGGACTGCTGCTGGGATGCTGTTCCCTTCAGCATCCAGGAAAAGGCAGGGAAAGCGGTCCCCTGATCCCCCGAACAGATTTGAAGGGCAGAATCTGCCAACTGCTGGGTATATTGATTCAAACGCCTTATTCCTCCCTGGGCAGATCCTTGCCCCGGGAAAGGAGCAATCAGTGCAGGTGCAAATAGCTTTTAATTGCAAAATGTATCTCACCACGGAGGCATTTAGGCTGGATGTGATACAAGCGATACGGCAGCAGCCTGAAGACAACCAATAAGCCGGAGCACTGCAGGGGCCAAACTGCTCCTATGCAATACCTATGGTGTAAATATTCATGTATGGCTGCGTGTCTGTGTTCTTCCGCCCGTCCCCGAGATACGACACAGTAGGACGGTGTGAAGATTCCCATAGCACCTGCAGGGAATGGTGAAAACTTGCTCTTTGTAGCGGTTCCTACGCGTACTTTGGTGGTGGTGATGGAGGGGATGTTTTCTGAGTGGACTTGCCTGAAGGCAAGGATCGGGCATCGTTTCTCGGTGCCAGCGATGCAGGGGGGTCCCAGCCTGGTTTTGGGGCAGAGGTTTAACTGGGTGCTCACTTTGCCCACAAAGTGAAGCGCAGGTGGCTGGAGGAGGGTCCTGCAGAGCCGTCGGGCTGCCTTAGGGTGCCCATGGAGCTGTGTACCCCTGTCTCCAGCACGTTGTACCCGGGCTGCTTATTCTCCGGAGCTCTTAATTGTGCTCGGGAAGGGACGTTTGCAGGCTCGGCTCGGCCCGGCCCGGTGGGTTCCGCGGGGCTCCGCGCAGCCCCTGGAAGGGGCGGACAGGAACCGCGGGAGCAGCCGCCCGTCCCGGGGCAACATCTCCCGCACCTCGGGGGTGGATGGAGCAATTCAGAGATACCCCGGACACTCCGAGGGTTATGGGGGTTCGGGGGGTGTCGCCCCTCGAGCCTCCGCGGGGTGACATTGCCCTGGGGAGGGGGAGTAGCCCGGTTTTGCCGGGGTGCACCACCGGGTGTTGTTTTATCGTCCGTGCGAGGGGTGCGCAAGGCTGCGCCTGGGGAGGCATCACCCGCGCAGGCGGCAAAAGCCCCGGGTGCAGGGGAGCGGCTCGGCAGCGCGGAAGTTGCGCAGGGGGCGGGTCGGGGAGGAGAGGTGCGAGCACCGCGCCCGCTCCGCCGCCGCGCAGCCAACCCAGCGCTTCCCCAGCGAGGGCAGGAATTGGTTTTATTATTATCATTATTATTATTATTATTTTCCTTAAGAAAAAAAAATATAATTGGACTTCCTAGAAAAAAGTCAGACTTTCTCCGTGAACTGCCCTGGTGGGAAATCGCGTGTTTTTGCCGCAAAGCCGCGCACCGCTGCCCGGGAAGGGAACCGGGGGGAGCGCCGGGGGTTCGGCGGAGATTTGGGGATGTGCAGCGGGGAAGTTGGCGGGACGCGGGGCGGGCCCGGCCCCAGGTGCGTTTCCAGCGGCCGTTTGCTGCGGGGCCAACCCGCGGCTGCTTCTCCTTCCCCGGACTGGGGGTCGCCGTCGGTGGGGCACCCCCGGGTTGGGGCAGGCGGGCTGGGGGGCGGCAGCCTGGTCCCCGGGGGAGAGGAGAGGGTTCGGCCACCCTCGCAATTAGCGGTGTCGCTTGTCCCCGCCGCCTGTGCGGGAGCGAGGGGCGCCCCGAGGACCGGCGCTGGGATGGGATGGGGTGGGGGGGGGGG